ACGACGTGCTACTGCTGCAGCCCAAAGGCCACTTCTTCGAGTCTTGGCATGGGCGAAAAAGAGAGCGCGCGAGAGAGGCAACCCAGCCGTCCTCCCACTCCGCCTTCGAAACATGACAAGGCACAGAAGGCATTGTGCAAAGCGTAAGCGCAGCGCCCGGCCACCTTTCGTGCCGTGCGGAGTCCCTGGGAAGGACCGGGGTGCCAGTCACTTACACGGTCGCTTCCAGCGGCAGCGGCGGCGGCGGCAGCAATATGTCTCCTTGTGTCTCTCACTCCCCTCTCAGCTCAGCCGCTGTGTGAACTGGAACAAGTAAGCGGTGTGTGTATGGAGTCCCACAATGCACAGCGAAGCGCTCGTCACATCCCCTCCTTCTCGGTGCCTGGGCCTGCGGCTTGTCACACACTCACCGCGGAGCCTGCAAGCGCCTTCGCACCCACGGCTTCAGGGGACGGTTCCCCCGCCTGGCCAAAGGCCTCCCCCCAACGACGCTTTTTTACATGTTCATGTCTCTTCCGCCTCCTGCTGCCTATAGGCGAAGCGCAGCCACTCTTCCCTTCTCAGAATGCAGCAGCAAACAATGCGGCTGAGTTGTCGTCCCTCCGCTGGAGCTCTCCACCGCCGGCTCCTGCTGTCTAGTGTCAGACGGTGTTGGGATGAGGGATGGCAACTAGTGCCTTTGTTGAGTCGGTCCTCTAGCATTATGACTCCGATAACGGCCAGCCAAGCACCTCCCGGGCGGGAAGGCATTGCATAAATGAACACAGAACTGTGTGTGCGCTGCACCAAGACCCCCTCCCTCAATAAAAGAGTGACATCTTAAAGACTAATTATTCTAGCTTAAGCTTTCCTGAGTCAGAATCATCAAATGCACCGAACACAAGGCACTTCTTCACTCAAGCAGCCTTCACTCAAGCACCTTTCCAAGTCAATTAAAGCAAATGGGTTTAGAGAAGTTTAACCCTATTTAAGGTCGTACTATTTGCCACCTAGGTTATGTAGCCTGTTGACACATCCCGGTATGGCAGCAATGGGGTGCGGATAAGCAGGCAATGTTTTTCATCACACAAAAACCATCCATGCTCACCCCCACGGCTCTTATTTTTTTTTTTATGCAAGAGTTACAAGATCAGCGCATCCATATCTGACATCCGTTCATGTGATAAGAGAAATATTTATTTAACTTTGCCATCACCACTCCTGGAAATTCAGTGAGCAGAGGTCAAGGTAAAATTTGCCTTATTCTGCAGATGGGCACTGCATCATATCATTTAACAATATCACATAGTGCATCAGATCTAGAAACGGAAGTCAAGGGGAAAAGTTTAGGGCACTTTAAGGATTAATGGATTCAGTATAAGCCAGAGCCTGCTTGGACAGATGCATGTCAGTAGAATGGCAGTGAATCTTCATTGGGTTTGTGCTCATTCCAGTCCAATAACAGGATTAATTCAAGATGACAGTAAAATTCCACACTATTTGTTTTTCTTTTTATTCATGTCTCTACAGAGCAGAAAGGGCAGTGATTTTGTTACACTAACCTAAGGTAATTTTCTTGTAACTTAAAGTGTTGCAGATTCAGTATATTTGTAACAGCCATCCACAACGCCCTACTACGGAAGAAGACACCTCAGTTGAGGATTTACTTTGTAACAGATAAGAAAAGGAATTTTGTGGTATGCTACAAGGAGTCTTCCTTTCACGAGACTAGAAGATGTGGAAAGATATATTGCCCTTCTTTTTAGCCTGTTCAGAGTGAAAAGGAGAGGTGAAGCAAACACAGTTACAAACAATACTGTTAAACTAAGAGCTCAAATGCACCCTTTTGGGTGCGTTAATTTTAGTTTTAAATTATTTTGGCTTTTTTTTGTCCCTTTATTATCATAATTATGCACGCTGCCTTTTCTTTATTCTGCTTGTTGTGTCCGCTGGCCGCCACCAGATGCCAGCGCACACTTCGGAGCTTGAGGATGAAATAACAATGGGGAGTAGGATCCTAGTCTCTCCACTGGGGGACCAATGGGACCGTGGCGGGAGATTCAAACCCGCCAACCACTCTGAACCCGGTAAGCGGGTGCTGCCCAGCGGAGCTACTGATGGGCAGAAAGCCAATGATCCTGCTGGACCGCTTGCACCCAGATCGGGCTCCGGGCCAGCGGAACTCCTCCAAGCAGAGGGAGGCGCCACGAGGATTCTTCCTGGAGGACCCGGTCTTGGCCAGGAACTTTGGCCGGGGACCCAAGTGGATCGCTGGGCGCATCATTCGCCCGACGGGCACCGTCATGTACGAGGTGTCCACGGAATGCGGGCAGGTCCTAAGGAGGCACATTGATCAGCTCCGGCGGCAACTACTACCGGAGATCCCGACGGAGGAGGAACAGGGACAACGAGCAGAGCCGGAGGTGGCGACACCTGAGGCTCCTGCACAGGGAAGTCCCGCGGACGAGAGTCCACACATGGCCACCAGCCCCCCGGCAACTGGTGAGGAGACCCCCATAATGGAAGCGGCAGAACCAGAGGCCCCTGCGCGACCCCCGAATCCCAGTCCGGGGGTTGGAATGCCGGAGGCCGCAGTATCGGGCCCCCGACGCTCCACGAGGGAACGGCGGTGTCCATCGTACCTCAAGGACTATGTGACTAGGGTGGGTACGGACTATGGAGGGAGGGATGTTGTGTCCGCTGGCCGCCACCAGATGCCAGCGCACACTTTGGAGCTTGAGGATGAAATAACAATGGGGACTAGGATCCTAGTCTCTCCACTGGGGGACCAATGGGACCGTGGTGGGAGATTCAAACCCGCCAATGGAACCTAGGGGTGTGTCCCCAGGGATGTATATAGTTGGCCACCCGGCTGTTGTGTGGTGTCTTTGTTGTGTACCAGTAAAGTATGCTGATCACTACATCAGTCTCCATGCTTACTTCATGCGTCTAACCCAGAACACTTCACTGTTCTTTATCCATTTCTATTGTTTTCAAATTCTCAAAGATAGTACCCTTCAGCCACAGAATCCTTCTTGCCAGACTTCAGGCAGATTGGTCCCCATTTCATAGGCAATTAGCAATGCAATCCTAAACAAAGTGACATACTTCTCAGTCCATTCAAGTCAATGGGTTTAGAAGGGTGTGACTCTGTTTAGGATGGTATCAGAATTTGCTCAATGGAACAGTGGACAGAAGCAGGCTTTTGGCTGCTCAAGGAAGCCAGTGGGCATAAATGATATATAATAAGGGGATCTTCATGTATGAGTCCATGGATGTATGATGCTAAACTGTACACCATTCTGTGCCTTACCTTTTTGCACTCTACTGAATCATTTTTCTTCCACCAAGGCTTCAAAAAAAACCAATCAGACAGACTGGGATAAAAATGCTCAGTTTGTGTTTAAAGATAGATTTCCCCACCTCCATTTTCTTTATACATGAATGGAAAGTTGCTTGTGTTTTACCTTTGTAAAGGCTAATAAGAGCTATAGAAGACACGTTCACTTGGGGAAATAGTACAGCTACTTTTAAATGAAATTAAAGATGTTAAAGGGTCACGTTTGAGGGGGGGTTGTCCCAGCAGCACCCACTTGTTATTCAACATATGCACCCCCTCACCCAGATTATTTGGATATATAGGCTGGGGTGTCACCAATATGCAGATGACACCCAGCTCTATCTACACATGGATGGTGACCCGGACTCTGCCCCTGAACATCTGGACAGGGAGTTACAAGCCATGGCTGGACGGTTACAACAGAGCAGACTGAAACTGAATCCATCAAAGATGGAGGTCCTGCACCTGGGCCATGGGGCCTGGGCCTGGGTATTAGGCTCCCAGTCTTTGATGGGGCCCTCTTGGCACCAAAGGTAAAGAGCCTAGGGGTGTTCCTGGGTGCCTCATTGACTATGGAGGTCCAGGTCACTGCCACTGCCAGGTCTGCCTTTTTTCATCTGAGGCAGATCAGGCAGTTGGCCCCATATCTAACCCTCTGTGATCTGGCTGCAGTGACCTATGCAATGATCACTTCCAGGTTGGATTACTGTAATTATCTCTATGTGGGGCTTCCCTTGGCTCTGCTCCAGAAGTTACAGCTAGTGCAGAATGCAATGGCATGGGTTTTGATGTCGCTGCCTGTGCGAGCCCACATCCACCTAGTGCTGCATGACCTGCACTGGCTGCCTATTGAATTCCAAATCCATTACAAGGTGTTGGTGCTTACCTTTAAAGCCCTATACAGCCGGGGGCCTGTATATCTTTGAGACCACCTTTGCCAATATGAGCCCTGTAGAACATTTCTACAAACCAACACCTCCTGGTAGTCCCTGGCCCTAGGGATGTTTGACTTGCCTCAACCAGGGCCAGGGCTTTTTTGGCCCTGGCCCCTGCCTGGTGAAATGAGCTACTGTATGAGATCAGGTCCCTGCAGGACCTATTACAGTTCCACGGGGCCTGCAAGATGGAGCTCTTCCACTGGGCTTTTAGTTGAGGCAGTGGGCATCCATTTGATCTGGCCTCCTCTCCAATGACCACAGTTCCCAGAAGCTGGGTGGGACCACAATTTTATCCATTGAGGCACATTATTGTTTTAGGCTACTGTGATCTTATCGATTTTAAATGGATTGTTATAATGTGTCATATTTGTTTTATTGTAAATCTACTTCAATTGCAGATCAAACTGTAAATTATGAACTGTTTTAACTGCAAATCTGCATTATTGTAGACATATATCTTGATACCCATCCTGAGCCTACATTGTGGGGAGAACAGGATATAAGTATAACAAAATAAAAAATAAAATGAAATAAATATTGAGAGATCGGAGGGTAATCCTTATTTCATCTTGTTTGGCCATGGCTTATCTATCTCTAGTCTGTCTTTATCTCTGTTAACTATATACATCTTAAGGTGGCTGTGAATCAATGGAGGGAATCAAGAAGTTGAGGCTTCCCCACAATCTGCAGCACTGCTTGCCTGTATGCAGTATGTAGAAATACCTGAAGATTTGGGGGTTGCAGCCTGGGGAAGGCAGGGTTTGGGGAGAGGAGTGACCTCATTGGGTTATAATGCCATAGAGTCCACCCTGTAAAGCAGCCATTTTCTCCAGGGGAACTGATATTGGTCATCTGGAGATCCATTGTAATAGCAGGAGATCTACAAGGGAGACCGAACTGACAAAATGGGCGTAACAGTTGGGATCTACACCTGTGTATACGAGGGTCAGTTTCCAAGTGGAAGAGTCTCAAAATGATCGAGACTAAGTTCGAAAGGAAGATTGTTTTATGTGGCTAAATGTAAGTCATACACACCAAAGAAATCAAATAACACAAACAATGCTACAGAGAAACAGAGGAGCTTATA